CCAGCCACTTAAGAGTTTCCTGATGTTCAACTCCTTAGCTTTTTGGACTCCTTCCATAACTGCAAAGATCTCAGCTCTAAGGGAGTCACCCACTCCAATTGGGCCTGAGAACATGGCAGAAATGACCCCATTTCAATCCCTTTCCTCATTCTCCTTACTTCCCCCTTCAGGTACTGTAGCAACATTAGCAGTCTTGGGTTTTCCCACTTGACTGCCCTTCTTAGGGTTCGTAAACCTCTCAGGGAGTAGTCCAGGATGAAGTTTCCAGCAGGTGTCCTTGGTATGCCGTGGTTTCTTGCAATATTCACACACCTGTTCTGTAGGTGGACTCTGCAACTGAACTTGTCGTCTACTTTCCTCACTACCTATCATGGCATATGCCTGTGATAGAGTAACCTCATCTCTGGCCAAAATATTCTGTCTGATAATATCAAACTCAGGGTTGAGTCCAGTGAGAAACTAGAACACCCTATTTCTCTCCACCAGCTTTCTGTACATTTCAGCATCCTTTTTACTCTCCCATACCACAGTTTCCATAACATCAATTTCCTGCCATAGGGATTTTAGTATAAAGTAGTAGATTGCTACACTCTTCTCCCCCTATCTCAGGTTCTTCACATCACTTTTCAATTTGTATGCTCGGGCTACATTCAGTTTTTGTGAATAAGTCTCAGTTACATTGTCCCATATCTCCTTAGCAGAAGACAGCCAAAGATAGTGTTGGCTTTTATGAGGTTGCATAGAGTTAACTAACCATCCTATAACGGTATAGTTCTCTTGCATCCATCTCTCAAATTCAGGATCTGTTTCTTCGGGTTTCACCTTATTGCCTGTGAGATACCCAAGTTTTCCTCTACTACAAACATAAATTTTTATAGACTGTGCCCAAGCAAGATAGTTCGTCCCATCTAACTTAATTGTGGTAACACCAGTCAAAACGGAATCTACTGGAGCAGGTCYAGAAACCGGCACCTGCTTGAACTCACTTCCGTATGTCTCCATTAATCAAACGGAAATCAAAGAACTGAAAAATTAACTATGCAAACTTACTTGAAGTCAAACCAGAACTAGGGTGCTTGAAAAACTAGGGTTTTGCTCCGTCCAGTGGATGAGAGGAAGAGAGAAGATGGTGCCGCACCAACCAGACTAACCCAAACTCTTCCAAACCTAAACCGCCCTCCTTTAGCAGTCACAAGACACCTTCCAAGCACAGAGCGCCACGCACAAGCTTCACCTTTCCTGGTAACCTCAAAAATCTCTAGTTGGCTAGGGTTTCGGGTAGTAGCAAAACAGCATCACTTCTTGGCAATATTCGGCCAGAACTTAAATCTCCAAACCCTTCTACCAACTAGGCAAGTGATTCTCTATACTATAGAAAACCTATCTCTCCATACACTCTTGCTTTTAGAGTGTACAAGAACAAAGAAAAGGAAGAAAGAAGAACTGTACCCGCTCTGATACCAAGATGTAAATCAGTCCTCTAATATTAGATTTAAAATCAGTGATTAACAAAACAAACCAGAGCTGAATAATAATGCAAGAGATGTGTATGTCGAAGAGAAGAGGTAAGAGGAGTCAAAAAATGATACACCCTTCTACTCTAACCCTATTTATTAATCTCTAAAAATTAATGATGACAAGTATGCCCTTAAGTGGGCGGCCAGCTTGGCAATTACATAAAGAAAATAAAAACAAGAATAAATAACAGGCCCATTAAGTGAGGCCCATCAACATAAAATAAAAGATAAAAAAGGATATCACACAAGAGGCTGTTAGGGCCCATTCGGCCCAGTCTCTTTACACTAGGGAGAATTTGTTCTGGGATCAATTGTAATTTGTTATTGTTGATTAGGGAAGGTGACACTTTACACCTCCCCATGGATTTGTTATTCATGGTTATGTGTCTGTGCTCCTGGATAATTTTTATATTGTCAAATTGTAATTATATGTTAGAAAATTGCTAATTTACTGCTTTTTTATTATCCGTACAAGATTGATTCTATGCTTACATGCATTAGGTGGCATAAATTCCCTGTTAACTCGGTTTTTATTGATTAAACTCTAATTTCATTTCTAATTTTTATTGAAGTGGTTTTGCTACTGATAATATCATAAAAGCACTTCAAGGGGAGCGTGTTGGTACCCTCTTTCATCAGGATGCACATTTATGGACTCCACTCAAAGAAGTCGGTGCACGTGACATGGCAGTTGCAGCAAGGGATTGTTCTAGACGACTTCAGGTAATGGAGATGTTCTAGACGACTTCAAGAAAGATCAATATGATAAGAAAATACAGGCTACCCAAGGAGAGGCACGAGCTGGTACCTCTCCTAAACAACAACATTGTAGTACAACAGACTAGAAAACGAAAAATTACAGAGCTGCCCAAAATAAATGTTCCCTTGAGGCCCCTTGCTTAGCTAACCCATCCACTATAGTATTAGCTGTTCTACCCACCCACTGAGAATTAAAAGTCATGTTTCTTGAAAACTAATTAACTTTCCTCAGAAGGTCCCTGTAGCACCAAATAACTGAACCTAGATTTGTTAACCAACCGACAACAACTTTGGAATCTCCTTCAATAAGCAGATTCTGAACTCCTAACTGGTATGCAATCTGAATACTTTGTACAACTGCTAGAATCTCAGCTCTAAGAGAATCTCCTATACCCACGGGGGCTGAGAATAAGGCTAATATATTGCTGTCTTTATCTCTCAGCACCCCTCCTATCCCTGAAGGACCTGAGTTGACTTGGCTGCTACCATCAAAATTCAACTTTGTCCAGCCTTCGGAAGGAGGCACCCACACAGCTGGTACCCTGTTCTTCTTGGGACTGCTACTAGTCACAACTATCTAGTTCCTCCACATGTCATCAAAAGAGAATGTGTGAAAGGAATCCAAAGATCTCAACCAGTGGATTGCCCTAGTTAAAATTACAATCCTTTACAGTCTAAATATTTCTCTCCTTCTCTTGGAACAACCTTGCATTTCTTTCTTCCCAAATTGTCCACAAAGCAGCAGCTCTAATGCACCTCCACATTGTTTTACCAGCTCTTGTGGGCCACACAAAGAAGGAGGGATCAAAGAGCTGATCTACAGCTGTAGTCAAATTTCACTTGCACCCAAACAAGGCAAAGATCCAATCCCAAATAGTAGCAGAAAAAGAACAGGTTAAAAGTAAGTGGGAACAACCCTCACCATTAGCCTTGCAAAGTACACACTAGTTAGGAGACAGACACATGGAAGGCCTTCTCTTCTGCAAGCAGTCCAAAGTGTTAATCTTCCTATAGAACACCTCCCAGCAGAAAATAATGATTTTAGGAGGACTGGAGGAACAGGTCTAGACCAGATCTCCTTAGCTGGAAAACCCAACTATCCTGGGGAAGAGCAAAGGGACTTAAAGAAAGCTCCTTGAACCCTTGATTTCCCGACTTTCTCATGTCCTCTAGACACTCATTTGCTATTAGGATCTGATCCATTATTTGTCTCCCTTGAACGAAAGCTCCTTGAGCTTGACTAATGACAGAGGACAGCACTACTTTAATCCTCAAAGATAACACTTTAACCAAGACTTTGTAAACACCAGTCACCAAGCTGATTGGCCTAGAGTCCTTAGGATTTTTTGCTTATTTCTTCTTAGGGAGGGCTATGAAGATAGCATTAAGTCATTAACTCCAGGGCTTACTTTGTTATTGTCCTCAAATTCCTTAAACACATCACAAAGGTCTTCTTTTACCACATCCCAACAGTCTTAATAAAAAGCCATAGTGAAACCATCTGGCCCAGGTGCTTTGGATCTGTCCATTGTAAACACTGCATGCCTACTTTCCTCTTCTTCAAAACTTCTCTCTAGCCAATTTGCTTGCTCTTCAGACAGCCTGAGCCATCTAATCCTTCCAGCCTTAATCTATTATTCAACGGCTTCCCAACAACTGATTTGAAATGATCTACAAACACTTTGGCTATCTCATCTTGGTTTGTGACTTCCTAAAACACTTTTGCTTTTCGTCTGCAATTTTTGGTGTTGTGTACCTCTGTAACTGTATAATTCATGGTGATCCATTTTTTTGTTTGTTCACAAGAGCAAGCTATTATTATAGTTCAAGTGTAAATTCTGCAAATGTTTTATGTGCAGGGTCTGACTTCACAAGATAGAAGGAAAATTTTACTTGACATAGCCGATGCCTTGGAAGCAAATGAAAACTTAATTAAGGTTGAAAATGAAGCTGATGTTGCTGCTGCACAGCAGGCTGGATATGAAAAGTCGTTGATATCTCGATTAGCTTTGAAGGCTGGGAAGGTAAGGCAGATAGTATTCAACTTTCTTTTCTTTTTGCTTAGTTTGTCTTCATTTACCACTCTTTGGTTTTTGTCCTTCTGGTTTTATTTCCAAAGATGCATGTGCATACATGCTCTTATGATGTTACTTTGTTTCTTAGAAAGCATTTCCATGCTGTGCAGTTTTATTATGAAAGCATGGGTTCATTTTTTGAATCCAGTGCATTGTATTTTACAGATCTCTAGCCTTGCAAAATCAATTCGTGTACTTGCTAACATGGATGATCCAATTGGTAAAGTTTTAAAGAAAACTGAGGTAAGGAGAATTTGCCTATATATACTGATTGGTAACTTTTCACAATTTATTGATTTAAAAAAGAATTATTTATGTCCATACCCGCCAAGCATCTCTGAAGTTTAGTCTGGTTAGAACTACCTAACCTACATTTTCTATTTACATTACAATTTTCTAATATTCCTCCTGCAAGCTTATGTTGTGCCTGGATATGGACCTGATATGGCATTTGCACCTGAAATGAATTATATGAACGAAGTTTTTGATGACATACTTGCAAACTGTGGTCAAAGAATGAAGTAGTCATCAATTAATCAACCAATTATATGTTTAGGCATTTAGTATTTTCGCACACCAAATAATGCTTTTTACTAGTGGTAGTAGTTTTTCAAATTTTATATCATATGTGCATCAATAATCTAGTACTCTTAAAGTACTATCAACTTTGGAATAACTTATGACTGCCAGAAGATGGCGTTCGAAGGACATGAAAATTTCTCACCAGCCGGTAAGTGGAGAGAAGTGTTGAGAATAGAACGAAAGGAATTGTTGCTGGAGGAGACTTTTTACCAAAAGGAGCTTACGATTAAGATAAGAGAAGGAAAGAAAGGAGCAGTTCTGTTAGTGGGAGATTCCGTTCCGTGGTTTCAGAGTTTCCTAGATGGTGCCGCTGGCCAGGTGAGTTGAAGTGAAAGGTGGAAAAGTTCGCTAAGGCAGGCAAGGAGACAATACGCAGCTGAGAGAAGGAAGAACTCTAGTGGTTCGTTTGTTACCTTGGAAGAGAAGTTCGACAAAAGGAAGAGACAGATAGTAGTTATCCCTGAAGGTGTTCGGCAGCAGGGATGGACAGCGGTGGCTAATGCTCTACACAGGAGATTAGTCAGTAAGGAATCAGAGGCAGTGAAGGTACAAACAGAGATAGTAGTTGGCGGACAGAGTAAGAAAGAAGAGATGACAGAAAGAAGAAAGAGACTAGAGAGGCTGGGCTTAGAAGACACAGTGGGAACCTGAGGAAAGCCAACTGTGGCATTTACTATCCCAGAACCAAGAGTTGTATTGGATGGGGAGAAAGGAAACTGGGAAAAGAAATACTTCTTATCTGCGAGGGAGGAGGTGAAGGATTGGAAGGGGCTGCTAGAAGAGGTGACAACGAAGCTTGGTTTGAACCAGATGGTCATCCTTATTCCTTTCAACGATAGGAAAGCAGTCCTTGATGTGGGTGAGTTGTTGATGGATTTCACTATGTTGGAAACGAGTGAAGGTCCTGTAAGAATTGAAGCTGCTGGGTTTACCCTTTCATCTCTGGCAAAAATCATCCTTGGAGAATCTGGTGCAGGCGATGGGTGGTGTTCTTCTGTCGTATAAGACCACAGATTTGAGGGCAGCACACTTGAAAGTTGCTGGAATGAAGCCTGAGGAAGTTCCAAGGGTAGTACAAATATGTGCAGAAGGCTACTGGTTTAAAGTCTGGGTGAGTTTGGAAGTTGAAATGTTGCAGTGGCTGGGGAGGTCAAAGCTTGAGGGAGATGAGGACGTGGCAAGATGGGTTACAGTTGGCAGGTTTGAGCAAAGGAAGTTTGGACATTTGGCAGCCGCAGGAGTGAAGGTTTCTCTGAATGAGGAAGCTGAAAAGTTGAAGGCCAAAAGCAAAGAGGCTTTTGTGGAAAAGTTTTCAAATTTTTTTGAAAACCAAAACAACTCTACCGCTGTTTTGTCCTATGCGGACTTGGTCAAAGGGGTAACCAGGTCAGACCAGGGAGGGGGGTTTGGCCCAAGACTAAGTTCGAGCTACGCACCACACTCTCTGAACCATTTGGTCCATTTCCGGGTCGGGTGGTTCTCACTGAGCTTAAGGGCCCAAGACTAGTGAGTCGAATCTCTACTTAGCCGTTGATAGACAAGAATATGGGTCTATCTTCTTCTTCACGTGGCTCGATCCCTGGGAACCAAATTTTTTCTACAGGTAACCAGAGCTTATCGAAGAGGAAGCTGGGCTGGTTACCGGTGACAAAACACAGAGAAGGTGACCAGGACGGATCAGAACGAGAAAGGCCAAACCCGAGGTACTCCAGGGGGAGTAAGGAAGACTGTGAAGACGAGGACGGTGGATGGGTAAGTTGCGATAGTTCAGAGGAGATGTCAGACTCAGATGTTGAAGCTGAAATTCAGTGGGAAGATCATCAAGGAGAGTTGGAAGATGCCCTGAATATTGATATCCTTTTCTCAGAGCACGTTGTAGAGGATCCTTTCTTGCATAAATCCTCCACTAGGTGTGGAGGGCTGAATGTTGTCAAGCATGCCTTAGAAGCTGAGGGGGAAAATCTAACACCAAGTAAGGGAGAACCAATCCAGAAGAGTAACTTAAGACAAGGGACCTACAAGAGGACTTCGGCTACTCATCATAATTCGACGAGAGATGGCACAAACGAGGATGAACGATAGAGCCTTGGAGGTACGAACAAGGGTGAAGTTAGCCTAGGTGCCGACTAGAGAAGCCCTACACGAAGAGTGAATGGGCTTACCCAGTTGGATGTCTCTTCTCCTTCTCCTTCAGTCCCAGGTATGGCTGTGGTTTCGATTTTAGATACTAATGTTTGCTCTGCTTGTGATGTTTGTCTTTTAGATCCCAGCCGTGCCCCTTTGCTGAATACCCAAGGTCCAGAGGCTGATACTGAGGAGGTTGGGGAGTTACAGGAGGGGGGTGAGAAGGTGGAGAGGGTGGGGAGAGCAGATCCAAATGAATTAACCAAAGGGGAAACTAAGGAGGACAGTAGTAAGATGGAGAAGGAGAAGGAGGGGAATAGGAGAAGTGAGGTAGGGGGGGGGGAAGGGAGAGAAGGGAGAGGAAGAAGTGGAGTCATTAGATGAATTTGTAGAAAAGTTAGGTTGTAAGGTGAGAAACCTAAATGAGCTGAAAGGGTATTTATGGGCTGAAAAAGATGGTGGGAATAGGAGGAAGAGAAGGCTAGGCAAAGTTGAGAAATTAAAGTTGGAAGTGGATGTGAGCACAGAGGCTAGAGTGAGGAAAGGGAGGGGTAGAAAAGGAGGTTACTAGAAGGAAGGGGAGTGGGGCTAGGCAGAGTTGTGGAAGGAATGAAGATTTTAAGCTGGAATGTGAGAGGATTGGGGGGTGTAAGAAAAGGAGCCTTAATAAAGGAATTTTTAAAGAAAGAAAATCCAGAAATTGTTTAATTCAGGAATCTAAACTTATGACTTTTGACAAAAGGTGGGCTAGAAGTGTGTGGAGAGTGAATGGACTGAGGTGGGTTATGAGCCCCTCCTGGGGCTCATCTGGAGGGTTAATTACTTTGTGGAAGGATGAAGTAGTGGAGGGAGTGGAAGAATTAGTGGGAAGGTTCTTAATTTCTGTCAAATTTAAGAAGGTGTTAGATGGATTTGAGTGGGTCCTTACCAATGTATATGGTCCCAATGATTACCAACAAAGGAAGGAGCTTTGGGAGGAACTGGGAGATATTAGAGGTCTGTAGGAGGGGCCGTGGTGTGTGGGAGGGGATTTCAATGTGATAAGGTTCATTGAAGAGAGCAATAAGGTGAGACAAAGGAACACTACCAGTATGAGGAAGTTCAATGAGTTCATTAATGCTTTTGAGTTAAAGGAATTGAATCTTTCTCACAATAGCTTCACTTGGTCTAATCTCCAAGCTGAACCTATCTGCTCCAAATTAGATAGATTCTTGTTCAACACAGACTGGGAGGAGCATTGGGGAGATCTGGTGTCAAGGGCTCTACCCAGAGTTACTTCTGATCATTGGCCAATAATGATTGGTAAGTCTGATATTGGTGGTAGTGGGCCCTCTCCCTTCAGGTTTGAAAATATGTGGCTACTTCACCCAGAATTCAAAGACAAAGTGAAAGCTTGGTGGAATGAAAGTAACCCAAAAGTCAATTGGGAAGGGATGAAATTCCATTGGAAGTTGAAAGAGTTCAAGGTCAAAATTAAGGAATGGAATTCTCTCCACTTTGGTAGGCTAAGCAGCAGTTGATAAGTAAAATAGAGGAGTTAGATGCTAAGGAAGAAAGAGGATGTTTTGGGGACTGAGATAAAGAAATGAGGTGGGAGTTAAAGAAGAGCCTAGAGGACATAATCTTCAAAGAAGAAGTAAGTTGGAGACAAAAATCTAGACACAAATGGGTGAAGGAAGGAGATAGGAATACAAAATTTTTCCATGCAATAGCCAATGGCAGAAGAAAGAAGAACACCATATCTAAGCTGGTTGTTGATGGGACAATTTTAACACAACAGCAAGAGATTGCCGGGGCTTTTGTTGAACACTTTAAATCCATCTTTAGAAAGCCTCTGCAGAAGAGATTAAGGATTGAAGGGTTGGATTGGCCTAAGCTCCCTAATGAGTTGATGTTGTGGCTGGAAGAGAGTTTGACTTGGAAGAAATCAGAGAAGCCATTTTCTCTATGGATAGATCCAAAGCCCCAGGCCCTGATGGCTTCACGATGGCCTTTTATCAAGATTGTTGGGAAATAATTAAGGCTGGCATTCAAGCAGTGTTCTTGGAATTCTTTGAAAGAGGTGTGATAAACCCAGGCCTGAATTCTACTTTTATTGCTTTAATACCAAAGAAGGTTGGGGCTTCTCATCCTAAAGAGTTCAGACCCATCAGTTTGGTTAACAACCTCTACAAGTTCATTGCTAAAGTGTTATCTAGAAGAATTAGAGAGGTGCTCCCCTCAATCATCTCCCATAACCAAGGTGCCTTCGTGACGAATAGACAAATTGTGGACCAAATCTTAATTGCAAATGAGAGTGTGGAAGACTACAGAAGTAGAGGTGAGAAAGGGCTAGTGTGTAAGTTGGACTTGGAGAAGGCATATCTGGTTGATTGGTCTCTGTTGTTGGAAGTGCTAGAGTCTTGTGGTTTTGGGCAGAGGTGGTGCAAGTGGATTAAAGGGTGCATTAGGACTTGCCATTATTCTATGTTAGTAAATGGCAAGGTGGTGGATCACTTTCCAGCTATGCGGGGTATTAAGCAAGGGCCCTCTCTTCCCTTTTCTCTTTACCCTAATTGCTGAAGTGCTAGGGAGGCTTATTGAGGGGGCAGACTCCAGAAATCTGATAAGTGGTTGGAGAATGGGGAGGGATAGGGTTCCGGTCACTCACCTACAATTTGCAGATGACACAATTCTGTTTTGTGATGGAGAGGAGATTAGCTGGGTGTGCAATATGAAAATGGCGATTAGGGTGTTTGAACAAATGACCAACCTCAAGGTAAATCTGGGTAAGAGTTAGTTGTGTGATTGGTATTAATATGAGTGAGGGAGAGGAGGTGGAGGAAAGGGCTCGAGTGTTAGGATGTGAGATAGCTCATTGGCCACTGAAGTACTTAGGGCTTCCTTTGGGAGACTATCCTAGAAAAGGAGCTTTTGGAATCCGGTGATTGATAGGTTCATTAAAAGGCTAGCTTCCTGGAAGAAGAACTACTTGTCTCTGGGGGGCAGGATAACACTGATTAAGTCAACTTTGGCAAACCTTTTAGTACATTTCTTGTCGGTGTTTAGAATCCCAGAAGGAGTTTGTAGGGAGTTGGAAAAATTAATGAGGGACTTTTTATGGGAACCTAGGGAGGAGAGAAAGGACCATAGAGTTAGGTGGGATCTAGTTACAAGACTTAAAAGTGAAGGGGGACTGGGGTTGGGAAATCTGCGGAAGAAGAATGAAGCTCTTTTAGGGAAATGGTTATGGAGATGGTCCAAAGAAAAGAAAAATTGTGCGCTAAAATAATCCTAAGTATTCATGGGCAAGAGGCAGATGGCTGGGATCCGGGACTATCATCTAGGGCTTCAAGAGCCTCCCCTTGGAAGTCGATTCATGCTGTCCTGCAGTCTTTTATTCCATTTATCAGGTACGATCTTGGTTCTGGTTTGTCTGTACTTTTTTGGGAACACACTTGGGTGGGGGATTTTCCCTTGAAAGAGCAGTTTCCCTCTTTGTTTGCTCTGTCTAGGTTTAAAAATGAACCAGTAGCAACATTTGCTAACTTGTCTAATTCCGCTACTAGTTGGAACTTGGGTCTCAGAAGGGCTCTCAGAGATTCTGAGTTAGAACCCATTTTGAATCTGCTTAAAATCTTGGATGAAGTAGTCCTTGAACCTTCCATTGTGGACTCCAAGGTGTGGTCTCTTGTTCCCTCGGGTATCTTCTCCTGCTCCTCCTTCTTCAAAGCATTGACACAGTCTAGTCCGTTACCTGGGCCTCCTTTTCTAGTTCGGGAAGTTTGGGGTAGCCCCATCCCTCCTAGGGTAGGTGCTTTTTGCTGGGAAGCAATCCTAGAAAAGTGTAACACTTGTGACCTACTTCAAAAGAAAAGGCCTAATTGGTGTTTATCCCCACATTGGTGCATCTTATGTAAGAAGAATGGTGAAAGCTGCTATCACTTGCTTGTCTCTTGCCCTTTTGTTTCAGATATTTGGTGTTGGTTCTTTTYTTTATTTGGTTGYAGGTGGCCCTCCCCTTCAAGTGTGCAAAGCTTGTTTAGCTCCACTCCAGTGAGGGGTCTAAAGAAGAGAGGTAAAATTTTGTGGAGATGCGCTAGAGCTGCT